TTTTTCAAGTGTTTTGTGCCAACAGAGCAGGAGCCAGAATTCAGATTATAAACCTTAACATTCATTTTTGCAAGATATCAGAACCCCAAAATAGGTAGAAAAAATTAAAGGACCTTCTTAATCTCTGTCTACATTGCAATGCCTCAACAAAGTGAAGTCCAAAAGCAGAGATGTATGCTATTTATTTTCACTATGCTATGATGTAGGAAAAATCTTTTCCTCTCATACTTGCCTGTTGTCTGAAGTCTTTAGGTCTAAACACTCCTGGTAGATGTGAAACTGGCTGTTAGGGCTTTTCTCAAGCAGCACCTCTTCACTCATAAGTAACCATGTTCAGGGAGGGATATAGTTTGAAATCTCAGGTAATACAAGTAACCAGAAGTAAATACTCAATCCTAGTAATGTTTTGTTTCAATCAGTGTAAAACATTTTAATCTGGTTGACAACAGCACAACTATTCCAACCTCGATTGGATAAAGATCTTGCCCAAGAAGGTGATAAGCTTTCCTCCAGTGTCTGAGTTTAAACAGGACTATTTTGCACATTTCCTATGAGGAAAACTTTTTTCAAGTGCTTGTTTTCTCCCTATGTGTGTTCTTGGTAAATGTTCTTGCACAAGCAGTCTCAGGCTCATTCTGAGCCCTAGCTAATGCCACAGGAATAAATATGTGCCACAGGTCTGGGCGCCTCCAGTAGGTTTTTTCAATATTCTGGTGAAAAGTTCAAACCATGGGCTCTACAAGCATGTGTAACCAGACCTCAAGTGAACTTGGTCTTTGCAGTAGCAACAGACTGTCAGCATTTACAGAGCAGTTCTTTAATATCCAGAACTATATCTGCCCCTCAGAAATGTCTTTCTGCCCCTTCTTTTGCTTAGGACTCGCACCTTCAGGGCCATCTACTGAGAGAGGGATCAACAGGAGGTCTCTGCTTCTGGTTCCAAGCACTCACACAGCAATTCAGTAATTTTCTTAATGGAAAAGCTGCATACCTGTCTGCAGATTGAAACAAGGGAAGAAGCATTTTTCAGCAACCTTATTTGATCAGAGTGCTCATAGTTAACAGAGCATGTTTTGCTGGGGGACCTTTTTCAACTAGGGAGAGGAGGTTTTTTTCTCTAACTGTGACTCTCAGAGCTTCCCAAGACAGTGATTTACAATGAAAATCAAATGCCTTGCATTGACAATGTGTTTTATAAAGCAAATTAAACAGAAACAAAAACGAACAAAAAAATAAAACCAAAAGATCCTGAGGATCTGATTTTGAATACTGAGTGGGAGCTGTCCTTTGCAGCAGAAATTTAGCTTTCTGGTTAGGCAATATATTTTTGTCATGGCAGCTTTGTGATTCATGTGATTCATGGGTCTCAGGGAAACTGGCCAGATCAGGGTAGCATGTGCCACACAATCCTCTTATGCTGTTCCTCTAATCATTATGAATTAAAGAAGTAGGTTAATGATGTTTCGTCTCCTAAGAAATATCATTAATTCACATGTATCCCTCATGTTTTAAAATGTCCATCACCATGTGTCGATCAAACAGCTGAACTAAGCTTGGGAGGAAGCATACAATAGACATGGGGCTGAAAGCATACAATAGACATGAAAAATAAACTAAAGCACATATACACTGTGTATATATATAAAGTGTATATACAGTGAACAGTATATACACTTTATCTTTGTGGTTCGGGAAAGAATTTTTTCCCACTGGAAAAAGTGAAGTGAAAATAAAGTTGATTTTAACTTTATGTGTTCCTTTCAACCTGCAATGAGAGAGGAAGGAGGTACACCTTAAATGTCAAGAAGTTAAATTTTAAGATAAAACAATGTACTTATCTGTCTGTACCAAATGTTTCTAGTGAAATGGAGAGTAAAAGCAAAGGGGAGATGGATCTGGAAAAGACACAAGATGTTTTCATTACTTTTTGAAAAATCCCTCAAATGTTTTTTGTGTGGCATGCACAAAAGACCAAATTGGTCAGATGCTTATTTTGGGGGTCATTAATCCCTGAAGAAATATGCTGTAGTCTTAAGCACCACAGGGTTCAGATATTTGAGATTAAATTATTGAGTAAAGCTTCATAAGAGCTACAAGTGTCAGAGCTAGTTTGGAAGACCTGCACAGTTGATCCATGGTTGTTTTGTTTCCTTTACTAGAGACAGTGAATGGAATTACTCTCCATTCACAGAACATACAACTGATGTTCAAGGACAGTGAAATCTTTCATGAGCAAAACTGGCAAGAGCAGAGTATATGGTATGGTTGAAAAGCCCTGAGCTTCTGCTTGATTTGTTCTGTTTGTCTCTGCAAACAGTTACTGTAGGCAGGTCACCTCTTTTACCCTTGGGAAGGCTATATTCTTGCAACACAGCTTTCTCTCAGTGATGAGAGGAGTGTAAAAAAATAACTACAGGGACTTGCTAGTGAATAGCACATCTTGTATCTTTGTGGTTTAAGGAAAAAAACTTTGATGAAAGAGGGGTTTTATATAGGGTGGATTTTGATTCTGTGTTCCTCTATACATCAACAATGGACAATGATGAACAATGTTAAAACATCAAGAGACTCAAGGCTTAAATAAAAAAATTGAACTGATTTGTGTATGCCAAGATTTTGTAGTGAGTTAGACACAAGGTAACTTCATGCTCAATTATCCACAAGAACATTAAGAAACTCTTTAGGCAGCAAGAGACCCTCTTTGAGAAACAATTTCTGCTAGAGGTTTTAGAGGTCCCAGATCTCAGCATATGAAGCAAAAGAACTGCTCACTTGCTGTTTATAGGTAAGTGAACCCCCCCTTCAAACATGTCTCTAGTTTCATTGTTTCTAGCCCTTGTTAGCCACAGCCAAACTAACTGAGAGGGCCTTTCCTTTCCGGGAGAGCCCCCATGGACAACTTTTCCCTTGCATATGGCACATGCCATCCCAGTGACTCTTGGCTATAGAGCCTTCCCATCTCAAACATGTCTTTGATAAACAGTTTCTCTTCTTGCTAAATTTGTAATAATAACAACACTCCAAACAAAAAACACCACACCCCTGGAATCTGCTTAATTTATGTAAATATTGAGCTTCACTCCAATCCTGGCATTGCTTTGCCTTCCTATGTCTTTCTTTTGCAGCTCCTTCACTGAAGTCTTGGTTAATGCATCAAATCGTATTTAGGCTGAGTTCCTCTTGCTGTTACCAGCCTGGATGATTTGAGGCAGTATCTCTCACCACATAAAGATCTTAGCAGTAACGCAGGTAGCTCTTCAATTTACAGTGACACTGGTCAATAACACCTTTCAGGTAAAAGCATATGAAATGCTAAGCATCTGTTCATTGCCCAATGAAATCTAATTTTTAGCCTGCAGCATACTGCTACCTCATCAGATGGCCACTTAACACTATTCCAAACCTAAGGTACATTCATATCCTAGAAGATTTAATATGCTGGCTGTTCAGCTATAATAGTGTGCAAATACTATTTTGCTACAACTGGTTCCTGTGTTTTAAACCAGCACAAATTATACAAGCATATTTGTGTGAGTGAAAGGGTGATTATGCTTCTCATTATATTACTTGATATTTGTTGACTGAATATTGCTTTTAGCAGGTAGTAGCTTTATGCTTGTGCTGTTCAGAGCACCTGATGCTTAAGCTAATGCTTAGGAAGTAGCAAATGTAGCGGCTGTGGTATGTGTTCTAAGGGCTCTGGACTCAATTAAACATTTCTCTTGAGGTTTCCTGTATTTGTACTCTTTATGTTGGGCAGGCTACCTCATGTATGTTGAGGTACAAAGGACACAACTCCCCAGTAGCTACCTTCTTCTGAAACACCTTAATTCCTGTATTATGCTATGCAATGCACCATATCATGCATACCGTGGCTAAACTGTACTGGGACAACTTGTGTAGATTGTTGTTATCACTTCTGCCTGTATTTCCACTGTTCCACTCGGTAGGCATATGAGTGACTAGCTGGAGTACTATCTGGGGCTCTGTGTGTGTGCATCCTAGAACAGCCAGCTGCTCTCATCTACTCTGCCTTCTTGGCTGTCTCCCTGATCTTCCATTCCCCCCGGCCTGACTGAACACGTGGCCTACAAGCTGTAAAGTTTGTTCTTTAATTCTACCTAGTAAGCAAAAGCCCAATTAATACGCCGTAATTGAAGTTAGTTAAGTGAAACTGCTTATTTTCTGCAGGAAGGATGAGGAGAACAAAAAGCACTGGGTGCAAACTGAAATACAAGACATTTTGTGTAAACATAAGCCTTTTTTACTGAAAAGGTGATAAAACACCAAAAGCCCAGAGAGGCTGTAGTGCCTTGGTCCTTGTAGATACTCAAAATCCAACTAGGCATAGTGCTGAGTAATCTGCTGTAGATGACCCTGCATGAGCAGGACCGCCAGACTGCCAGCCTCAGCTCATCTCTCGTGCCGTCACACTTTCACAACAAGGCACAGATTCATTCAAAAACACTCACACTGCTCAAATATTTTCTAAAAATTTGACACAGCCTCTCTGGAAATGGGATCTCATAAAGTAAATGTTTCCTGGGCTTGTCAATATAGAGGGAACTATGTGACTCAACCCAATACTGATAAAATTTAAACTGCTGTCTGACTAACCAGCAGTCACCTACGAGACTAGGAGAACTGCTCCACATTCCCTACTTGAGAATATGTTATTAACTGCATTAAATGAACGAGATAATCTCCGTCACTCATCTTTACTGATTTTTATGTGTTTAATTACAGTTAACTCTTTTCAAGAAGGTTCTTTCCCTGTGACTAAATCTGGAGGATAAAATTAAACATCAGCACACTCAGCGACAGAACTCCCCCCAACTTAATTTGAGTCAGGATTCTTTGCATGTTTCACACGCTGCCAGCTTTTAAAAGTCTTTTTTAACAGTGTATTACTTGGAAAAAAAATTCATGAGGAATGTGGATTTTGGTAAAGTGTGATGAGTATTTTAGTTACAGTGAAAAAAAAGTTTAAAACTCTGAAATCAGTGCAGAAATCCAGTTTTATTTCAGTTTTCTTCTTCATTAGCTACACAGAATACTTTGGAAACTGGACATTAGCTGAATTAAGTATTATTAGTCTTCTTAAATGTCAAATCTCTATGGAATCAGTTTTGAAAATCATCATGCATGAAGCATTTCTCTGTTCCTATTTAAAACAGGATCTGACAAATTAAATTGTAAAAAAAAAAAAAAGGTAAAAAAATGCACAAAACTATCAAGATGGCCTAAAGCATTAAACCTAAAAGACTTAATTAAAAAAAAAAAGGCACTGCTGTTAGTTGTATCTACTGTACTACCCATAGGTACAAGTGACTGGAAGCTTAGAAGTTTATATAGTTACTAATTACATTGAAAGCATACATCCCCATAGGTTTATTGAGAAGAATCAGATGATGTTTAAAAACCCTATTTCTGATATTCTCAGCGTGATAACCAAGGTGGAGCTTAAAAGGCGCTATAATTAGACAACCAGCTACTTAATTCTAACAGGAGCCTAAGAAAAGGCATCTAACCTCTGAAGCAGGTTATGGCACTGGTTAGCTTAGTGTCCCATAATTGGCATTTGCTCGAGGAAACTGTGTGTGGTCTGGAGGCTGCCCTAGAGTACTCCAATGTACAAGTAATGAAATGGGTCTGGCTGTCAGCCTTAGCCATGCAAGTCTTCTGTCCCTGGTTAAACATTCAGCAGGTCTTAGGCAAACGCGCGCTGATGCTTCTCAGTTGTTCTCCTGCGGCACTCCTGTAGCCTAAAAGGAAAGAGGAGAAGTTGTTGCTTTAAGGAAAGAAACTGTCACTGCCTATTTCATGGTCTCGTTGTGTACCTTTGTTCTCAGAGTAGCTCCTAAAAATACCTGGAGTGTATGTTTTCAGTGCTCCTTGACAGAGTTTTGTAGAAGGCAGTATGTGCCTGAAAAAGTCACCCTGTCTATTGGCTCTGGGTGACCACGAAAAAGCTCGTGGCAGAAGGGACTGCTGAGGACTGCTTCCTACTTCAGACTATCTTGTCTCCCCGATAGCTTGCTCTACTTCATTTTGACAGAAACTGCTGGAATGTCCAGCTTGGAAGACAGGCTGCAAACAGATACTGCCTCCCCCTGCAAAATTCCTGGTAGAAGAAACTGGTGTGCTGTGACACCCAACGCAAAATCACATTTCTGTCAGTGGACTTTCCTATCAGTATTCTCATGTTTTGTACTTAAACTAAGCAGTTACTCCAATGGGCAAGTCCTTTGACACACATACTATTTTTTTTATTAAGCCCATATAACTTACTGTGTGTTTCCTGGAGAGTTAGTTAATCAAGAATTCATCATGGCCAGAGGCCAGAAATCACAAGGTATTTACATGTGTCTTTAATCCACAAAATTAAGACAGTAATTTTAGATAAAATTAAAATTTTATCTAAAATAATTTAGACAAAGAGGAAAAACTGAATGTGCTTTTGTTCAGCCAATCTTCTCACTCACAAAAGACAAACAAATTACATTACTCTCTTGATATTTATAATTTATAGATCTCTGCCTCCGTGGGTCCTTCTGTGATCTGGTAAGCAGAAGAAAGTTTGCTTTTCCAGTCTGTTCTCCAGAAACCAAGTCACTGAGACCAGAAGGTTTTTGTAGCATGAAGTCATTTTAGGCAGCTGAATGGTCCAGACTTTCTACCACCTTCTTGTTTAATGGAATTCCATTTAGAGGAATTCATGAAAGAGACCCGATGATTAAGATTTAGCTCTTTCCTGTAAGCCAGATTCACTGCCCCATAAATGGTGAAAACACAGCCAGATGGTTACAGATCAGGGCAGGGAAACACTCCAAGCCAAAATACCTAGTCTCACGTACTATCTTAGGTACTAAATATTCAATAAAGACTTAAAAGAAAAAGAAAGAAAACAAACACTGAACCCTTGCATTAATTTTGTTCAGAATTCTTCCACATTAATTACCCTTTAAAATCTGAACTATAAATTCAAATTTATTTCTCAAGAACTTTTCAAACTTGGGAAGGCTAAAATTTCTGTTTCAGCTGTTTGGTAATGTGGCAGGCTTCAGAGAAATAATTTACATTGTACTTGACAACTATAAAAAATTTTAAATTGATCTGACTAAGGACTCACTCTAGGGAACTCCTGAGCACTGAATTTCTGGCTTCAAGGAAAATGAAAGTGTTCAGTATCAAACAAAACTAAACAGTGTTTGAACATCTGTGGCTGAAAATCCAGAAACGGTCTTTTCTCCACAGGTAAGTAGTTATTTTTCCCAATGCGTGGAATAGTGCTGAAAGCCTGTTAACCTCTCCCACATGTTCCAGCTTGGTTGCTCCAAAAATGGTCTTAAGATTTCTTTCCTATCCAAATAAAATCACCCATTGCCCAAGAATGCAGACAACAGACAACTGGCCTACTCTTTTCTCTCAGAGCATGTCTTACTCTGTGAATATTGTGATTATGAAGAATTTAATTGATTAAAGAAGCATTTACAGTAAGCTACAAGGTTTAAAACCTCTTGAAATGTGATCCCTTTTGGCAGGACAGCTCAGGCAGGAAACATCACACCTGACTAATGCTGGCCAAAACAATCTCACTACTTCACACTTTCCATAGGCTCGGTTGTATTTACCATCATTTGCAGCCTGAAGGTGCTTAACTAGTAGCAGATGTCTCACTAATGGTCTCTGCTCAGAAGGAGAGGAAGGCAACAAAACAGGGAACTCCACTTAAGGGAACTGCAGCTTGACCAATCCAGGAGTACTTGAAAACAGGTTTTATCTGATCCAAGAGGGGATGGCCCAGGAAGGGCAGAGGTGCTGACCTGACCCTCCTGCATGTCACCGCAGCCTGTGCAGGCCGCAGGGCAGCCCCCTGTGCCCATCCCCACAGCGCTCAGAGCCCATGGCTGGGTGAGGAGCCCCTCATCTTGTACTTACGCAGAGAGTCCTTTCTCCAAACTGGCTGTAGAAGGTCATTGTGACTTTGTGCTTGTGCCCAGTCCTCTGATCAAAGGTGTTGCAGGTGTCGAAGGGTGGGCTGTACAAATGCAGGCTGACAGCAGGCTCTGTGTGGCTTATGTTCTCCACACGGTGCAGGCCAATGGAGTCTACACCAGCAGAGGCACAAAATGGCAAAAAGAAGGTGTGTTAGCAGGAAGATCCAATGAGATCTCAATTGCCTAGAAAAAATACTTTTTAAACTGTAACTCATGAGCAAATAGGCATGGCCACACTTTTATGGGCAACAAGTAACTCAGTACAGGGAATTTGACTGGTGTTCTCTAGCACAGATTTCTAAATACACTGGTAATTCAAAATGTGTTATTGCCTTCCACAGTTCATGTAATTTCTAGATTATCTGCCACAGGATAAAGGCCAACAGAAATCCCAAAAAATTAAGGAAGACCATACTGTAAATATTTTTCTAGCTCTCATTTCCAAAGGATTTCAAGCTCATTTATTTTCCTAGGAGACCTGTTGCTCTACATGCTTCAGAAGCAGGAAGGGGGCAAAAGCTTTTGTACTTCTTTACAAGTAACAAGGATATCAGTCACATTGAAAGTCAGCTATGTGCATTTGGGGCGTGGACTTATGGGCAGACATATGGTATCTTCTACTGCAGGCATCTGTTTCCTAATGAATCCCTCCAGTTTATTGGTTTGGAGAACACATTTTTCATTTGTTTTCGCTTTCCTATAAAGCAACTAATCAATAGTGACTGACACACTTCCAATCATGACTGAATAGTAAGCATAATCAAGCTGTTACAGAAAAATGTCACGTATGAAGAATCACATCCGTGAAACAAGCCATGTCCATTCTACACTAAAATGGAGGTTTTGAGTTACTTAAAACAGACCTTGAATTTAATTTATGACTCTGCTCTAAAAACATAAAATAATGAATTTATGATCCTGCTGTAAAAACAGCTCAGGCCTTTGAACTTGAATTTGTTATATAATACCTGGACGTGTATTGTGCAACATAGCCATGGTACCCTGAGAGTCGTGAGCACACTCTTAAGTCTGATTGGAAGCCCAAAGTGTTGTTAACATACTTTGTCTAAATAGAGGATGTAGCAGTTGGGGGAAAGTCCTAAATATTTGCTTATCTAACGGAGAACTCAAATAAACAGGGTTTAGTTGTTTCTGACCCTTATGTACAAGAGCAACCAAGAAGCACACAGTAGAATCATGAAGGCACTTGCTATCAATGTAATTATGGCAATCAGCACACTGTCAGTGTTTTCCTTCTGCTTGTTTAACATGTTCCTTTTAAACCAAAACATCTGTTATGAAACATGGCAGAGATCCAAACAGCCTCAGAGAACTGGATACCAAATTTGTTTTAAACAACTGAGGAAGCTTTGGGTAAGATGCACACAGTCTGCAGTTGCTTGCATTGGAAAGGACTGCATATGTAGGGAAACCTGACTGAGGTGGAGAACCCATGTCCCTGGCACAGGCGCATCAGCAGATGTGTCAAGCCATTTCCTGCCCTATCAATTCAGTGTTTTCATTTAGCACAGCAAAGCTTCAACAGACGGCTGCAGAACACCAGTCTTTCTCCTCAGTGCCCTCACCCTGGCTAAGTTCCTAACCCAACCTGAGTCTCCTTCTAGCTGGGAAGCTCCCAAGGCCAGTCCCTCTAGGTGTTTTACCCATGACATGTAAAGCAGATGACCTGCTTTTCTGCTGCTTCACCTTTGTTCTGTTGAACTCAAAGTGGTCCAGCACAATGTGCAGGGTCTTTCACAGCACCACCACACATTACACCCAGATGGCAACTCCAGGATGGTCTCCAGCAAAGCAGGAGGTGGTAATAGTTACAGGTACATGTGATGATGGCATGGATTTAGGTACTTAAAAAGCCTTACTAATGGAATCTTAAGTCATTCGCAACATTGTGTATTTTTTTTTTTTTTTTGTAGATTGGGAATTTCAGTTTTGCTCACACTGCACTTCAGCACTACTGCCTTTTGTTGATTTGAACAAGAAGTAGCACTGTCACAGGTTTCTGTTCCTGGCTGGTCAATTTATTTCATAGACAGTTTCTACATTTTCACCATAAATTTTCCACGACTGAGTAAAAGGATTACTTCTTTGAGAACCAAAAAAAAAAAAAAAAAAAAAAGGCAAGGTGATCAAGCTATCTAAACTTTGCTTCTCTTATTTCTTAAAAAAATGCTATAAAAGTTTATATTTATAAGCAATTACACATAATCATCAGGGGCACAATACTAAAGGCTGTTTGGACTAGAGGAGAGACCCAGTATACTATTATTATTATTGCTACAAGCAATGCTACAATGTTTTAAGAGTGAGTGAAAAGCACATTTTTGATGCGGTTGTTTATTTTACTGAATCTAAATACAGGCTTGTGCAGAGTCTAAAGAGTCACATTCTTAAACTGTGCATAGAGTCATAGGTATTATACTGTTAAATGTAGGAGACAAGATTCTGTTAGGAATAAGACTCATGGACAGATAATTGTCAAAACAAGCTTAATATCTTACCATTAATGTAGGCACACTGATTTTCCCTCAAAACTCGTTCTGATTTCTTAGTCATTTCACCATTTCCTTTTTTCTCAGGCCATTCAAACAGAGTCTCCTTTAGATTTCCCTGGAGGATCTTCATAAAGCAGTGTGAGTCAGTGTGATCATGGATACTGCTATATATGTAAAAAGAATAACCAAACTCAGTGTGATACGCATATTTAATTTCAGTGTAAGACAGACAACATAGCATACTGTATGAGGAAAAAACCTTAGAATGAAATTCCATTCCACAAGGGATGTGCATTAAGGGATGTCTACTTACACTGCTGCTATGGAAATATATTGAACTAAGTTCATATACAGCAGGATTTGGAGAAAAGTCAGATATTGGTCAGCCTATGACTTCAATATGGAGAACCACAAAGAAAGTCTGGAGAAAGGAGTAGGGCTGAAAATTTCTCCAGAATGCAAAAACTCTTCTGGGCCAAGAAACAAAACAATGCTTCTACCATGATCCCAGGAAAAGGCTGATATAAACTTGCAAGTATACCTGATCTCTGCAAATCCACCATGCTCACTTCCAAAATATGAAGAAATGAGCTAATGCCGCTTAATTTCTATAGCTCCTTTACTGCTGGGATTCACATGCATCATTGAAAAAAAATGCCATACTTCTCACTCTGAGAGTGCTAAATACAACCAGCGATACTAAGCTGTTAATTTCACTGGCATTTTCATGTTAAAACTCAATAGAATCTGGTAGGATTTGTTTGCTTTCTTGATCTCTCTTCTTGCTCTGAAGCATATTTTATTTGCCACATTTAGAGATTACATATGGGTTAGATATTTAGTTTAGTATAGTTAGTTTAGTTTATTTTTCTTTTAGTGCAGGAGTAACTGTTATACAAATAAACAGGATTAGGACAAAGGGAGAGCTCTCCACTCATTGGGGCAAAAGAGAAGAGGGAATTTGACCCTCTGAAGTACAGCGCTAATAAGTTTCAATCAAAAACCTGGTACTTGTACATTACTGTTTCTATTCAGCAAAAATTAGGATTTCTTGCAAAGTGAGATGCTGAGAGAGCAGGGCTTGCTTCAGGCACAGAACACTTCACAAATGCCACTTTGTCATGGTCCTTCCAAATAACGAGAAAATCTGACCTTCTTGCAGGAAGCAAAACTAGCTTGTCTCAGTCTAGCTGTAACAAATGCCCATCCAACTTGAACACAGTTTAACATAAATTACAGGCTGTGTGGGAATAGCCTAGGAGGAGTAGAGGTGGTGAGCTCAGTTTCTGTATTGCTCTGAGTTTCATATTATGGCATCGTCTAAAGAATGCCGTACATGATGAATTGCAACAAACAACAAAAAAAAAACCCCAAAATACTGTTCCAACATCTCCTTAGCTTTTCTATTTAGATTTGAGAATATTCAGTCCAAAACCTGCATATTTGCTATTGCATTTTTTGCTTCAGCCCACACTTAGTGAAAGACCTTCCAAGAGACAGATCCTGCCCTGACATAGTGTAGGACAACACAACCAAGTGTACAGTCTATGCACCTGACTTGGGAGGCCACATCAGCATTATGATCCATTTTGAGGGAAGAGATGAGATGCACAAACCTAGAGAAAGCCAAACAGTTCTGGAAAGGGGCTCCCTCCTCCCCATCAGTAGTCCTAATCAAAATCTACTTTTCTCATCTTGCCACAAGGCAGATTTAAACACCCTGAAAGAATGAAGACTATTTAAACTGCACCTAGTCCTGCTTCTGAAGTCGGGTGTTATATGGGTCTGTTGTATGGGACAGGTTGAGCAGGGTCATATCTCTGGGACTAAAACCAGTAGAGAAGCTTAGCTTTTGTAGAAAAACAAAGCATTTTTGAAAGAGTGCTTTACAAATGGCCATGGACTACAAACTTGCAAAAGTTACAGCAGATATTCAGGACTGCTATACTAATACACTGCTTACTTTCCAGACACCTTCTGATAGATCCCATAGGACTTATTTATTTTTCCTCTATTTTGAATGACAAAGATACAAAAGATGTGGGGAATTTATGTTTGCTAAAATCATAGTTTTTAAATACAAACCTGCCATGACCTTCACCCCAGCACAAGATCATCAAGTTGAACTTTCCATTTCCACTGTCCACAAGATTTCTTGTGTACCTGAAATACAAAATGTTTGCTCTTAACTGTACTAATATGTCTATAAAATAGAAAATTATACAAACATGTTTATGGAAGAAGGTTGTGACATACAAAAACTATTTTTCTTCTGTTTTCTTGAAATGTAAGTTTTACTTAGGAAAAATGAAATTGCATTTATAAGTTTGGCTTTTTTGGTAAGAGATATTTTTCTGGGAGGGAAAAGGAATATCTAATATTTTGAATACTATTTCTTTTGAATTACATAGATGATTGGAGTTTGGGAACTGTGAGTCAGACTAGAGTGGTACACAGGATCAAATCAAAATGGTTATTGAATGAAGTCACTTCAGCAGCTGGCTTATAATTAGAAACAGAGGACTGCAATGAAACAAGAAAAATACATAGTTACATTCTTCTGCAGCTCCTTTTCTGATATTCTTGGCTTTCCTTCTCTTACACAGAACTCATTTGTACAAAGCCAAAATAACAAAGAATGAAGATGCCAGACTTCCTGCTCATGGTCCTCCCACTCTGTTCCTGAAAGTTCCATGTCTTGTATTGTAGCATTTTTGTGTGGATAAAGCACCTCTGAGGGACGTTTTGCCAGCATCTACTTCTAAACAAAGTTTATTAGAGCAAAATTTCTTTTCAAACAACATCTTGTGTTTGTTTCCTTTTACTCTCCTTTAAGTTTCCCCTGAATGGCTGATCACCTTGTTCAATTGAAAAGTTCATTAGAGAAGGGATTTGGATTTTGCTCCAGCTTCCCATAGAGTGACCCTTCTGATCTGGGTCTGATGCTATGGTACAAGTAGCTCAGTGGGAGACCTTCAGATTTAATTTTAGCAGCAGTCATGACTATTTGCACTTCACCAAGTAAAGAAAATATTTATGCCTACCACGGTATGCCTCAGTCTCACCTGAAAAATGCAAGCAAGGGCACACATAAAATGCATTGATGTCAATTGAATACTTTCAAATTAGTATCCCCATAAGTCCACTCTATTTTACTCAAGAAAGGATGCTCATAAAGAACTGCTTTCAAAGGAAACATCTATATCTATACACTGCCTCTCACTGCATCCACAATGTGTACATATATTACGCAGACTTATTTCTCCTATGATGTCAGAAAACAATTAATCAATGCTGGCATTTGAGAAGACTTCTCAAGCACTGTTATTTCTGTACAGGTCTGGCTGGACAAAAATAAATTTATAAATAACAAATAATAAATAAATATATAAATAAAAGGTTGCCACAACCAATGTTAACATACTTTGTTTTCCTGATTCTTAGCTTCCTATGTTCTGTTACAAATGTCATTATTTGTTCCAAATGGAAGATAGTCACAGAGAGGTGAAAGGAGGCTAAAAAAGTCAAGCTAGAATGATGCTGTCACAATGCCACAGGTTAAAAAGAAGTTTTGAAGTTTGAGGTGTTTGAGTGGGGTTTTGTTTCTATGTTCGTTTTTTAAAGAAAACACTCGAATAAAATGTATTTATCTTGAGATTTAAAACAGCGAAGCCAACAGCGGCAGAGATGAATCAGTCGCTGGCAGAGCAAGAGGAGTTAGAACCCCAACAGGTATTTTCCTTCCAGCCGGTGAGCAGCAGCAGAAAGCCTCGCTCTGCCCTGCGCCGGAGCCC